CTACCTGCTCTTTCCCATGCATAATCTTGTAAACCTCAATCATGCCACCCCTCAGTCGTTGTCTCTCCAAGCTAAAGAGCCCTAAGCGCCTTAACATTTCCTCATAGGGAAGGTGTTTCATTCCCTTAGGTATTTTAGTTGCCCTTTTCTGCACTTTTTCCAATGCTGTAATATCCTTTTTGAGGTGCGGTGACCAGGACTGTACATAAAACTCCAAATGAGGCTGCACCATCGATTTATACTGGCTGATTTGTTTTCAGTCTCCTTTCTAATAATCCCCAGCATAGCATTTTCCTTATTTATTGCAGTCGCACACGGAGTTGACATCGTTAGTGAATTATCTACCACAACTCCAAGGTCTCTCTCCTGATCACGTACCACCAGCTCAGACCTCCTTCAGCGTATATTTACAGTTAGGATTTTTGCCTCCAATGGGCATCACTCTGCACTTGTCCACACTGAACCTCACAGTCCTCCCTGCTTCTCACCACCCTGAAAAACAGGTTGCTTACCTGTAACTGATGATCTGTGGGTTGGGCGCCTGCGCACGACCTCGACCGGAGAAACTTCTAGCGCTTTCCCTCAGAAAGCTTTTGGCGGGTTCTCTTCTCGCCCTGGGGAGCAGGCACGCACTGCGCAGGGCTGGAGCGGGGGAGAGAGCCGCCTCCCACTCCATTCCTTCGACCGCTACCGGTAAGTCCCATCAAGCCAAAGAAAGGTGAACAGGAGATGCCAGCAGTGGGGAAGGCTGGGTGGGATTGTGGGACTGCACAGATGACCACTCGAAGATCATCAGTTACAGGTAAGCAACCTGTCTATCTTCGTCGTGGTCTCTGTGCAGTCCCACACATGGGTGATTACCAGAGCTGAACCAGTTGGAGGAGGGAGCTGGCAGCTGCAAGAGACACAAAGAATACTGGTTAAGATACAGCACCACCAGCGGAAAGAAACACCCACGGGTCCTACCTGGGGACGTAGCAGGGTCAAGCGAAGAGAGAATGCAGCACTGACTGGCCGAAGGCAGCATCCCGTCGAGCGCGTAGTGGGTCACGAAGGTCGATGCCAAGGACCACGTAGCAGCCGCACAGACGTCCTCAAACGGGGCACCAGCCAGGAAAGCGGTGGATGTCGATACCGCCCGTGTAGAATGGGCAGTTACAGAAGTAGGAACGGGTTGATGTGCAAGCTCATAGCAAAAGGCTATGGTGGAAGTCACCCACTTGGACAAACGTTGAGAGGAAATAGGGTCCCCGACATAAGGGGGCCCATAGGCAAGGAACAGCTGAGGAGATTTACGTAGAGGCTGAGTCCTATGTAAATAGAAGGAGAGTGCTCTGCGCACATCGAGGCAGTGGAGGGTTCTCTGAGGTGCATCAGTCGGATTCAGAAAGAATGAAGGTAAGACAGACGACTGGGACAGATGAAAGGCAGAGACGACTTTAGGCAGAAAAGAAGGATCTGGTCTAAGGACAACCTTCTCCTTATGGAAAATTGTATAGGGGGGATCAGCCCGAAAGGCAGCTAGTTCCCCTACTCTGCATGCAGTAGTGATCGCTATAAGGAAGGCAGTTTTCCAGGAGAGTAACCTGAACTCGGCCGTGGCCATGGGCTCGAACGGCTTAGACATCAGTTGAGTGAGAACGAGAGAGAGACTCCACGAAGGCACCAAAGGCTTCCTAGGGGGACAAAGGCGGAGGAGGCCTTTGAGGAACGACTTGGTAAGACGGTGAGAAAAAAATGTGGATCCCTGTATCAAGGGATGGTAGGCCGAAATGGCCGCTAAAAGGACCTTTAAAGACAAGTATGCCATGCCAATATTCTTTAACGAGACGAGATAGGAAAAAATCTGACGGAGAGATGACTGGAGAGGATCAAAGGACTGATCAGAGGCATACAACTGGAACCGCTTCCACTTGAAAGCGTAAGTGGCATGGGTAGATGGCTTCCTGGCATTCAGAAGGACTTCAGACACTTCAGGTGGGAAGGACAAAGGCAGAGGAGGCCTTTGAGGAACGACTTGGTAAGACGGTGAGAAAAAAACGTGGATCCCTGTATCAAGGGATGGTAGGCCGAAATGGCCGCTAAAAGGACCTTTAAAGACAAGTATGCCATGCCAATATTCTTTAACGAGACGAGATAGGAAAAAATCTGACGGAGAGATGACTGGAGAGGATCGAAGGACTGATCAGAGGCATACAACTGGAACCGCTTCTACTTGAAAGCATAAGTGGCATGGGTAGATGGCTTCCTGGCATTCAGAAGGACTTCAGACACTTCAGGTGGGAAGTCTAATGCAGGATCTTCCAGGCTGCTAATTGGAAGAAAGCGGGATCGGGGTGGAGGACCCTTCCTCGATCCCAAGAGAGGAGATCTGGGACGGCAGGGAAAGGACGGAATGTCTGGTTGGAGAGACGAAGGAGGTGAGGAAACCAGACTTGGCGCAGCCACCATGGGGTGACTAGGATGCAGGACATCACATTGGCCATAATCTTTTGAATGACCCGGGATATCAAGGGAAATGGAGGGAAGAAATAAAACAGGGTTCCCATTCAGGTGTGGAGAAAGGCATCTTCCAGGGACCGAGTGGATGGTGGACCGCGGCTGAAAAAGCGGGAGTAACGGGCATTGTGTGCAGTTGCAAAGCCATCTACGACAGGACGACCGAACTCGAGGAAGACAGGTTTCAGGTATTGAAGGTGAATGGACCATTCGTTGTCCGAAAACTGGGAGCAACTCAACCAATCAGCATCTATGTTTTGAATGCCCGGGATGTGGATCGCAGAGAGCGTGATGGAGTGGTGGATGCACCACTGCCAGAGATCGATAGCTGCCTGGCAAAGACGAAGGGAGGCTGTCCCGCCCTGTTTGTTTATGTAGTAGACTGTGGTGGTGCTGTCGGAGGAAACCCGAATGACTTGGCTTCGAAGGACAAGGAGAAAGGAGCAGAGGCCTAGGTGAGTGGCACGCAGCTCCAGGATATTGATATGAAGGGCGGCTTCGCGAGGAGACCAGGTCCCTTGCGCTGAAAGGATTCCACACTGGGCTCCCCAATCCCAGAGGGATGCGTCGGTGGAGATCGAGACTTGTGGAGGAGGATGCCAAAGGGGCATGCCGGACAGCAGGTGGTGAGGGTCAGACCACCAAGCAAGAGAGTCGACAACAGGGTGGGATTGATAGGATTTTGTGCCATGGACTGCGGAGAGGGTCGAAGGCACGGAGAGAAGCCACAGTTGGCGGGGAAGACAGTAGACGCAAAATGCCCCAGGAGCCTCATAATGGACCGAGCAGACTGGTGGGGAGAGGTCTGGAACTGGGAGACCAAAGTAAGTATGTCGGAGGCCCTCGAGTTCAGGAGAAACGCGGTCTCGAGGTTGGTATCGAGACAGGCACACAGGAATTGAAGGGCCTGGACAGGTCGCGGAGAGACAACTTGGTTAGGTTGACACAAAGCCCGAGGGCACGAAGGAGAGACAGGGTTATTTGGACATCTTGGAGGAGCTGGTGTTGGGTGGAGGCAACAAGAAGACGATGGAGGTCTGCAGCCACTACAGCCATCAGCTTGGTCAAAACCCTCGGGGCAGTGCAGAGTCCGAATGGAACGACCCGATATTAATAGTGTGCATTGCCGACAGCGAAACGGAGGAACTTTCGATGCTGTGGATGGATAGTGACATGAAAATAGGCGTCCAGGAGATTGACAGAGGCGAGCCATGCTGCCCGGGGAATCAGTGGGAGGATGGATTGTAGGGTGGCTATTCGGAACTTGTGGCATCGAATGTACCGATTGAGATCCCGAAGATCCATAATGGCCCTGAAACCGCCATCCCTCTTCGGTATGAGGAAATATTTCGAATAAAAGCCAAGGGTTCATTCCG